GGGGTGCAGACAGGGGGGGTTATTTGCATCAAGGTAGGACACCCAGATGTGTTGGGGTTGACGTCACGGCCGGCTCCGCCCATTTGTTTTCATTTGGCCATGGGTCTTCTCGGGTCACGGCCAAACTTTTTTTTTCTTTTTTTTACCTAACTTTCCCACCAGACCTTTAGGGTCTGGTATGGATCGGGAGGGGGGCCCCACGTCACATATTTTGTTTTTAACTATTTAATTTTAAGCACAGGCACACACAGAAAGACACACACACACACAGCTACTTAAAATAAAGGAAAGGGCCCCCTCACCTGCTTAAATTTTTTTGCAGGGAGAAGGCACATTCCCTGGTAGTGCAATGGGTGATTAGTACGCTCTGCACCAGCCAAAATCCATATTTTTTGCCTGTGCTCAATAAAGTCTGTTCTGCTCTGACTCGCACTAAGCGCTGGCACTGCCAGGAGTAGCTATGCACCCTGCATCTGAGAGATATGCAGACCATGTACCTGCTCACCCAAGTCGGGTACACGAGCCACATGGTACCGGTTTGCAGTCTGGAATTGGCCCGCGGGCTGATACTTTGGTACCCCTGGTGTAGATGGATGATGAGAATGTTAGGCAGGGAATTAGCTACCTTTTTAAGTTGCAAAAAATGGCATAGCACTATACATGCTTCATTGTGGTGGCATTAATTTTCAGAGGGACCTAAAGACTGTCGCTCCTTGTGGTGGGCTGCATTGGAAAAAAAATGGCGCGGCTGATTTTTGGTATGCTGGCAACCTGTTAAAAAGAATGGGCTGTCTTAACACAACACATATTAACACAATAAAACGCAAAACGGGCCAGTGTGAATGAACCTAAAATCTCAATTTGGCCCTGAAAAGCATCTACTCCAGCAGTGGGTCAGCCTAAGGGGACCCGTTCACACCAGGGTTATCCATTGCATTTACTGCATGGATAATTATGTGCATTGCATGAAAGCATCCCATTTATTTTGTTTGGGTTGCCAAATGTAAAACAATTATAGTATGTGCTGCATTTTTGGCAACACAGCGCACTTCAACCCACGGTATTGTGGTGCAAAAAAGTTGGTTCAGGGTACCATTCAAAATGAATGCCACAGCGCACCAAAACACATAACGCAATGGCATGAACATACTCTAAACAATAATAATGTCATGCTGATATTATTTCAAAGCTTAGTTTGAGTTGTCAGGCCATTTTACATTTTAATGGTATGGGGAGAGGAGGGAATGGAAGGCAAGTCAGGTTATGTTATCCATATGAGAAATCATTTATATGTCGTCATAGCATTCTGCTGGTGGAGTTGGCTTTTAACCTGAGCTCTAGTTGTAGTGATATCCCGTTTCTTGTGAAGAATGCTTTGTTGTAGTCCAGTGAGCCAAGTAAACAAAACAATTGGCTTCCGAATAATTTTCCTTGCAAATCCATGATTTTCCTAATCATAGCAGATCACCTGTCCTTGTGACGCCATTTAAGCAAAACACCCTGAGAACCGATAACACCTGTTAATGCTGGACAACCTATGTTGTGATGTGCCATGCAGGACTGTTAAACAGTACACACTTCTTGTTCAAAATTGTATAATGCCCAGTGAAGGAACCTAGACAATTTTGAAAGCTTGCATGTTTAACTTAGAGAAACTTCACTTTAAAAAAATTGGTTGTTTGTGTCAATACTATTTGGTATGAAGATCTCACCAGCCACCTTTTCACAGGGTCATGAATAGCCTGCTGGAAAAAGCTAAGAAAATTAAGTCCCTTGCCTGAATGACATTGCAGTGTTTAATCCTACCTTGTAATAACACCATTCACAAGTCCTGGACAAACTGGCAGCAGCTATCAGTCAGCAAGTGTCAGATGGGAATGACAGTCTTGAGTTCAGTACTTGGGACATCGGGTAGAAGATGGTACTCTGAGACGGGGAAGGTCGGGTCCATCAGGGCCTTGCCTACCCCTCAAACTAAGAAGTAGGTTATGTTCTTCTTGGGGATAGCCGGTCAGGTGGATCAGTCAGGAAAGTAAACAAGCTCTCTCATTGGCCATCCCATTTGCAAATTCCACCAATACCTGCACCTCTGTAACACAAGCATTTCACAACATTTTCTAGCATCTCTTATCCTACCAACCACTGTTGACCTGTGGGACTAAGGTCTGGTTCTATACTTTAATTGCGAAATAAAGATCTGCATGGGCAAGGATATTCTCTACACTCTTGATGATGACAAGTTGTGTATTATTTAGATGGTTTACTGCAACATACTTTTCTTTGCTATTTTTGTAGCTATGAAAAATAGAATGAGACTACATTATATAAGGTGTGTCCATGTCCCATCACACTCCTGACCGGTATGGTAATCCTAGAGATCTTGGATGGGCGCAACAGTGTATGCGCATGGCGCCGCAAATCAATCCATAGAGCAAAAATTCTAAATGTCAAATCCTTTTATTGCCATAACATGATAGGTTTCACAGTGTGTAGCAACGTTTCAAAGCCTAATATGGTTCCTTCCTCAGGCAAACATTGTGACAACCAGCAAAAGAACATAAACCCAAGTAAACCAATCAAAACCCTGACACCAACCCCTCTGATGTCATTGTGACGTCACAATCCCGCACTTCTTGCGTGTAAATATTGGGTTTAGGTTTGCTGGTTGTCACAATGTTTGCCTGAGGAAGGAACCATATTGTTTTCCGAAACGTTGCTACACACTGTGAAACCTATCCTGTTATTCCAATAAAATGATTTGATATTTTGGAGTGCCAGTGAACTCTTCATTGCTCTATACATTATATAAGGTTCTCTTGTTTTCTCCCTGTCTTCCGTGTGTGTGTGTGTGTGTGTGTGTGTGGACACAATCTCATGGACAAAAAATGTGCATCTGCATACCTTCACTGAAATTATGTGAATATTTTATAATTGATTAGATATTTTATGAGGTTTTGTAGTGTGCCATTAAGTTTTGTAAATGGGTCACAACAGGCTCTGGACTATATTAAGCAGCAAATCTAATGGAGTTCCCCTAGGCTTTCCCTTAGATTATTAACGCTAAAAATATGTCATTTATCCACAGGGATGTCAAACTCATTCTAGACATTTCTTATGAAGTGTATTATGTTCCAATTTAGTTTCTTAAAGTGTGAATTTGTATGTCGAAGATACTTATCTGACTAAAGCTTAACAATTTGGTAATGATAAAATCATTTTTCTTTGTCCAGATGGAGTTGCTGAGGGTGCTCATTATATTTCCAAGACACTAAGCAATGGGGGTTCAATTTTATGACAGAGGCGATTAGCATATTAGCTAGATTAAATAACACATGCAATAAAACAGCAAATTAACACATGTGAAAGTGAGAAGATGGAGCCAAATTTGTCCAAGTGTCTTATTGAAGTGGACCTACTGTCATATGTCAGCATTTCAAAATCACTTTAGAATTAAAAGTAAAAACAAGCAAATAAAAAAAATCTGTTTGCTTCAATATAAAACACTCCTCAGAGTCCCATCATGTCATATACAACCTAATCAAAGACATTTCTGCCTACCAGATGCATTGTGGATGTTTGTTACTGTTAGAGACTGCACAGTTTGCAGTTTTTTTAATCAAGCATAACTCAGTGACATGAGTAAGCAGAAAACGAAGTCTGGCCATGTTATGAGCAGATATGGCCACTCTGATATACTGAATATCTATAATTACACAATGGACCTGGACAGTAAACTTTTTTGTTTGTTGTTTAATAAAACCTTAACTCATTTGAAGATTTAGATTTAACAGATCTTTTTTAATTGGGCATCATTCACACTAGTAATTCAGGCCGATCAGTGGATTCCTGCGACTGGAATCACAGGTGCATGCAGCTGTCATTTTAGCTGGGAAGCAATGGCAGGCTGACAGGATCCACAGCTGTCCACTGTTGTTTGCATGTATTCACACATCCAGCGACTACTAGGGACAGCTGACTGGCCCTGAGCATAATCTGTCTAGCGGCAGATAACCGCTGGATGTGTGGAGATAGATCTAGATAGATAGAGATATGTGTGTGTGTTACTTGGCTTTGAGTGACATGGTTTATGATATTTAACAAGTCTGTATTGGTGGTATAATATTAATAATTTATCTCTTATCAGGTTGTGATAAACAATGCTGCTGGGAACTTCATTTCTCCTTCGGAAAGACTATCGGCAAACGCCTGGCGAACAATCACAGACATAGTTCTTAATGGCACAGCTTACGTAACTCTTGAGGTTGGGAGAGAGCTAATTAAGGCAGGAAAAGGTAAGACATATATCGACCTTGATTGGACTTAACCTTTACCTACTGTGAAATAAGCTCATAGCTTTCAACCACTATCGCCACTGGAGCCCCAACATCCTATCATCTGCTCATTTCTTTACATTTTACACTGTGCAGACATTACACAGCAGCTGCCAGCACTTCATCAAGATCTCGTTAATGTGTTTATAATGCTTGTTTTTAGGACTTTGTCAGAGCGTAACTTCTAACGGTGTGTTTTGAGCTGCACTACATAGGAAGAAATTGAGTCTGAAAATGGCACGTCAAAAGATCAATTTAGCGAAAACCAATTAAGCATTAAAATGCGTAGTGATATCTGCATGTCAAGGGCTCTTTTGCCTGGACACTGCTAAATGGTAGAAAATTGTTCTTTCCTTCATTTGAGGCAGCTGTGGCATGCAAATTTATTACATCATACAGCCAGTAAATATGAGATTCTAATGCTTGAGTTGTGACTGTATGTATAGGTATCCAAATAGAAAAAGTAAGGTCCTGTATACACAAGCATGAAATTGGCCTGGCGCACATTCATCCCTTTTCCAGCACTCCCTTTATGATGATGGTGAGGAGGTGCATCGAGCCATTTAGCACTCACAAATCACCCTTAATTTTGCTACAGCAAGTTAAAATAAAAAATAGTGCTTTGGCACTGTTTTATCTTCCATTCATTAAAGGAGACAGAGATCTTAAATCTCTTTGCACTGGGTTATAGCGCCAACTTCAGGAGTAGGAAATTAGGCACAAAAGCACAGGCTGGATAATATAGATCCTTGTAGTCGTCCCCCCCTCCTCCCCCCAGCCCAAACATTGAGGCCCCGTTCACATTGAGTGATTTATCGCGCGGTAATTCCCGCGATATCGCGGCAATTTACCGCGCGATATCGCTCTCCAATGCTTCTCAATGGGGCAAAGGGTCCTGCTGTCGCGAGTTGTGCGTCGCTACAGCAGGACCCTTTTTAGATTTAGCCGCGATTCAAGCTTGCTCAATGCAAGCATTTGCGCGATACCGCACGACAAATCACGCGATATCGCGCAAAATACGCGTGATTTGCGAATCGCACATTGTGAATGGGGCCTAAGTCCATGCAGACCTTTGCTACATGCTGGGTCGTCTCCGACAGCCCTATTCTGTATCTAAGGGCAGCATGTGAGATATCTTATGATGGAGGGGGAGACATGTGACCTCATTGCTCTGTCACAGTGTACCCCCAGGCTGCAGGCTGACAAAGGAGAGGTGACCTATCCTGGGAAGCCGCACCCTCAATCTCTGACCTATCTGCAGCTCTAGTGGCCTCTAAGCCTTTTGCTATGGACACTCAATCTGATCAGGGTCTCCCCATTCCTTTGCGACTGATTATCATAAGGAGTTTGCCAGCTGCCAAGCCTACATGTACTATTTTGTCCTGTACCAGAGTAACGTAAGAGGGGTAGCCTGTGGATTCCACTAGGGCCGCTACCTGTCTAGGATCCCTTAGATGCCCTGAGAACACCTTTCTTTGGTGTTACTATTTCCAGGAAGCCCAATGTTTTTGGATACCATACGTATTTGCTCTAGATTTTTCCTACAACCTAGTTTTCTCTGGTGGTCCTGCTTCGCATGGGTGGCATGCTTCGCATGCTAGGGCACAGAGACTTTCATCCCAGGTAATGCTCCTTGAGTGTAATCCTCATTTTTTTTTCTTTGGTTTTTTTTTTTGGGGGGGGGGGGGGGTGTGCTGTTGGGTATGGCTTTACCGTTGGACCTGCAATCATCTTCCAAAGACTGCTAGCCTTCCTTTCCTTAGTTAGGGCACACCCCACATAAAGACCCTATGTAGCTCCCTCTGTACGACCACCTGTTACCTGGAGTTGTGTAGTTGTTTCCCACTCCTCGGTAGACATATCTTTGGGACATCCCACAGGTACGATATTGAAGATCCTCCACTGTGTCCTTCAAAGAACAAAAGAGAATACAGTAAACTCCCCATGATACGGCATTCAAGCAACCAACAAAAAAAAATCGACATATGTCCTCAATTTTTTTTGCTTTTTGGTATTCGCCGATGCCGGTACTTCACTAGCATGGAGCTGGCTTCATGGGCAATTGGGAAGCCCTGCAGCATGCCATTACCCGCCACCCGGCTTCTTGATTGCCCAGGAAGCCAGCTCCATGCTGTTTGGCCGGCTTGAAGCTGTTTTGCCGGCTTCCCAGCCAATCGGCATCGAGCCGGCTTCCTGGCCAATCAGGAGGCAGGTCATTACTCGCCACCCCGCTGCCTGATTGGCCAGAAAGCCCACTCCATGGTGTTTTGCCAGCTCGATGCTGATTGGCTGGGAAGCCAATCCGGAAAGCCAGGCGACGAATCATTATGCGGTATTAGAGCAATTGGGTGCGGTATGCGTACTCGCCCAAATACTCAGTATTGACACGAATACTGTTACTAGTATCAGTGCATCCCTATTAGCAACCATGGCCATGACGCTGTTCGTTTTGCATCTTGGCAGGACTGCAGTCTTTTAACAAATGTATCTGTAAAAATAAGTCAAGGCAACTGAATACGTTTCACCAGACATCCGACCAGCTTTCTCAATTCAGAATGACTTGTACAAAAAATTATCGGGGAATAAATGGTGAATGTTTCTCCAATCCACATAATCTGTTAGGCGCAAACCAGGTGTTGATTGCATTTGCATAACTCGAGTCTAGGATGTGTTATTAACCTGAGAGAGGTGTTAAAACAGCATTTTATGTGGCGGACAATAGATGTCTCAGAGGGATCACTTTTAACAAATGATTTTGTACATTGAAATCTCCTTCGTGTGATTCAGTGAGTGAAGGTTATGCTATAATAGAAAGGGAAACCCTTAAACCATTGAACCTTAATTTTCTTGAAAGTCTAGATTCAGGACCATATACAAGGTGGGGACCACTCTACAGTTAGACAATATAATGGCCACCTGCTTAAGATCTTTACCAGAAAGATATTTTGGTGCACTCCGCAGGTAGCATGTGCCCCCCGATTTTGTTTAGTAGCAGTGTAATTGTTGGCTACGAATATTTGGTGTAACTTATTGCACATGACTGCTCAGAGGCATAAACTGTGAAAGCTGTTATTCTGAAAACTTGTTTCCTAATTCTAACTGTCACTAACACGTGGAAAAATATTGTCCTTCCAAAGAGAATTGGAGTTTACAACCAAAACACTGTTAACTAATGTGTCAGCACAGAACCTGAAAAGCAATAATGCATTATAGATGACAGTATAATAACTGAGGAAGAAATCATAACTCTCACAACAGAAACATTTTCATCTGATAAGGGTTTCTCTGCGGCACCCAGACTTTAATGAAATCCTCGTTGTGCGAAATAACACGGAAGATGAATGCATTGTCCTTAACCCAGTATTGTAGACAACCACTCGTGTTTATCAGAATAGACATTTAGAAACACATGTAAAAGGAACTGATCAAATCCTAGGTGGTCAAAGGAGAATATATGGGGACATGTAGGACATTAATGACTGAATTGACCATCAAAGTCTCTGGTAACAAATGTAACATCTAGGGACTATGCCAGATTCAGCAAATCCTGTAAAAGGGCAATTGGATTAAGGTGTGAAGATCTGCCTTTAATCTGCTGAGAACATCTCTTATTATGAAAGATTGGAGCAATGAGATAAAAGTAACAGTTGTCTTAATAAAGCATGCAATCTGTCATGGTGTTTTTTGTTGTACTTTTAGGCCTTTATTCAAAGCCTTTGTTTTTTAAAATGCACACTTTTGTTTTACAGGTGCATTTAATGTGGTGTTTTGCACATTTTTACTGCTACATGCAACCCAGCTATTAAGGTTATTGTTTTCTAGGGAAAATAAAACATTTAGTCGCACAAGTCAGCGGGGGCCAGAAACTAGCACTAAGAAATAATTCATGCCTTGTAATTTTTAAAGTACACCTAAAGGCTCCTATATGACAGCCTAACAAGTACCATGTAAGGTTCCTATGTGTGATGTACAAGCTTCAAAAAGCTATCATTATCTTCCCTGACTGAGCCAAATCCTTCTTCATCTGTGCTTCATTCACTTCCCTTGCAGGCACTGGAGCTTACAGTGCCTGAGTTTCAGAATCACAGCAGTGTTGTCAATCCAGAAAGCAGTGGGCAGAACTAGGTGTGACCAGGTGCTGATTGACAGGCTGCAGGCTTGTGAATCAGCAGTGACGGTGCTAACAGTCACGCCCCCACAACATTTTTTCATCCCACTTTAATGCAAGCAGGCACAGTTTACATGAGTGGCAACTCTGTTCTGAATTTAGGAGCCCTGCAGCAATGTTGCCATACAATCACAGGTAGCTGCATTGGGTGGAGCTGTCAACTGGAATTTGTGGGACTTTACTGTAAGTTCAGATGTACTTATTCTAAGTGCTGAAACACATATTTTCTCAGTATGGGTCCATAGTTGTATTTTAATGGATGTATAGAGAAGTATAGCCTCCCCCGACATTACTTTGTAAGGTGCCACAGCAATTGATACAGCAGATAATTGTCATAACCAGGGTCTGACATTAACCTTGTGTACCATGGAAGTTGCATTTAGATTCCATATTACATCTTTGTCTTTAGCCAGTATTTGATTGATTTATGTATTCACTAAAAATCAAATGTATTTTGAAAACGGCTAGTTTAAGTACTTGAAGATGTCTTCATATTGGAGTGATGACCAAGCTGTAATCAGGTGTGCATTTATTCTAATGCAGATGGGGGCAGCGGGGCTGGTTTTCATTTTTTTTTCAATTTTTATTTACTTTGTAAACATTTTTAATTTATTTTAATATTTTTACTTCATTGTCTTTTTATTAATTTTTTTTATTTAGTTACAATTTTAATCAGTTATTTTTGTAACTTTTTTATTTTATTATTTTTTACTTTTCCTAACTTTTTTTCACTTAATTTTATTGCTATCACACATGGGCTAACAAACCCCTGTTTGATAGCATTTGGAGGTGA